GTACAGCATTAACAGAACAGTGTCACTGTCAATATAGGACAGTAAATTACTAAGAAATCATCAAGTCAACACAATTCAAAGAAACCCCGAGAAAAAGGTTAATAGTTTCTTTGAACCTTTCATCCCACTTTCATCCCAGTCCTCCTTGGTGAAGGGCCTCGAAGGGACATGGATTCGTGGTTTGAGTGTGTGTACAATGGTGGCCTGAACTTCCCTGGTTTACCCAGTCTGACTGACTCTGTGCCTTTCAGCCAGCTGGTTAACCCACCTAGTTTCCCTGGGGGCCTTCCCCTCTAGAAGAAGAGCTGAAGTATGACCTACTTTAGAGGGGCTGTGAACTTTTATATTGCACTTGGAAACTCAGGTGACAAATCCCTACAGATCTCGAATATCACTTCACTGCTCCCCAGATTGATGCCATCAGCTCTGTCTGTATTGCTCCCTCTGCAAGCAGTCTCTGGTTTTAAGTGCAAATTTACAGGAGAAGGAGGAGGGATCAGGTCTGGGTAGTTGTGGTAAAAAGCTATGAGGCATAAGGAAAACCAGAGGGACAAAACCCCTTTATTTCTAGCCTCAATTAGAAAAACTGGATTCTACCATAGTTCTGTGTATGTAGTGGGTGGAGGGCGAGGGGGTTTATGTGAGGATGTGCACAGAGGCTGGGGTGAGAGTTCAGAGACTATGAAAAGGGCACTGGAAGACCCTGCCCCTCTTGAAAATCATGCTGAGATTCTGTGAGGTCTTTTTTCAACCCATTTTCAGAGTGTGAGCATGCTATTATGGTAGAGGGGCACTGCCAAAGATGAGGACATAAATCCTGCCGAGAAGCGACCAGGCTGGGCACCGAGACGGCCGCTGCAGCCACACAGACTAACCGTGCCACAGCCACAGCCCCAGCCCCAGTAAAACCAGTCCGAGGTGGTGCAGACGCGGCACCTGCCCACGCCTGCTGCGGGTGCTGTGCTGCTGGCAGCAGGTCCTGGTCCTGTCTCTTGTATTCTTTTGCATCATATTTGGGTAAGTATCTCTTTACACAGATTAGTTGTTTCTTTGGTTGTTCTTCGTAGTCAGTAGCAGGAGGAGCTGTGTGTTTGGGCAGCGGGCCCCTAATGGAACCCTAGAGGCCTGAGCAAATTAATATGCTCTCTGTGAACGTCAGGTTCTACCAAGGAGGGAGTTATTTGGGTACCAGGATGGTACACTTTGTTTCCCACCAAAACATACTTTCCTCGATGGAGAATTTATGTTGACAGAATGCATCAAGTCAAAGCGAATGATAGGGGCTGAGTTCTGGTCTGCCCTGGTTGTCTCCACACAGAGACCGTTCCCAGCAAAGTTAACGGCTGGGCACTGCTGTTGGCATCACCCTGCGGCACAGCAGCCGGGGTCTTGCATAATCCGCCCCAATCTCGGTTTCTTTCTTTATCTCTCTTATTCTTTTCTCTCCTTTAATCCATATTAATAGCTAGTCCCAACAATCTTTCCTCCCAGAACCTCCCTGTCTCCCTTTTCTCACATGGTTTCCCTTTGCCTCTTCAAACCCCAGCTCCCTCTGGCCATGTGAGATATGTCTCCATTTCTCCAACACACAATCCTTCTTGTGGGTTCTTACACTGATCTGTCTCTGACCCCTTAATAGCACATCCCCCATATCCTGTTTTGTCCTGGAGCTGGCTGTTACATGGCATCTCTGCTGCTGGAGTGAGGAGTTCCCCTGGGGGCTCCCTCTGGGGAGCCCACTGCTTTGTTCTTAGCATGTGTTCAATAAAGATTTGAAGAGGGGTCTACAGGTAACAAAAATCTGTATAGCTGCAAAGTGATTTGTTGCCTAAATAGAAACTGCAACTCAGCATTTAGAATAAAAAAGTGAAGAGAACAGTTAAGGAATTAAAAAAAAAAAATCCCTTGTCCCAGAGGGTTCCTCTGCCCTCTCTGCTGGCTCCTTCTTATGGAATGATATTGGAAACCGTGACCTACTAGCCAGAACCCAGAGAGACATACAAGATGCAAGCAGGTTATTACTTTCATGTTTTTGAGTATGTGGTCTAAGAGATAAGACATGTGGGCATCTTTAGAGCCAAAGATATGCAGAATCTCATCAAATGATCAGCCTGTGTAGGGGCTGCAGGCCCCTCCAGTGCACAGGAGAATAAAGGCATGGTGTCACTAGAATCCAGCTGACCACAGGCTGCTTAAGTAAGAATAGGAAAGTGATGCTGGGATGATTGTGATCGGAGGTGAGAGTCAAGCCCTCCTGGCTGAAACCCTCAAAGCCCTGGCAAGGTATGGTACCTCAAACGTTACATGAGAGCGTACCCTCAAAGTTGTGTGTAGGGACTGTAACTCTACTTGAGTCGCAGCTGAGTTTAAAAACTAAGTAGAGGCATTTTTAAGAGAATCAAAACCACAGAGCTAGTAATTTTTGTGTTAAAAAGCATCTGAGAATGTGGAACGTTAACAACCCTTAAAAGTGTACGAAAACTTTGGCCTTTTAGATTAACAGGTCAGACATGTAATTCCAATTTAAAATATGTAATGGAACAATTGATTTAGACTTGTGACTAAGTGAAATTTTAGGTTGACATGCAGTTTTAAAACATTTAAGAGAGCTTAAACCTCTTATTTTTAACTTTAAATTATGATGATGGTAAGAATTACTTAAGTACTTGGGAAGGTTTTATAGTCAGTTCAAGTACTTAAAAAGAAAAGAGAATATATTAAATCTTTAATGGTTAAAGGAATTTAATTAAACCAAGTTTGTAAATGGAGCCAAATACCTAAATCTACCCATCTTACATATAACATAATAAGATGTATAAACTAATCGGAATAGGCAAAATTTGAAAATTTAAAGAATTATTTTCTTCAACTTGTTACTTGGTAAGTTAAATGTCAAATTTTAAATCGAAACTAAAAAGACAAAAACTATCCTGACTATTTCTGGCTTATTCAGTTTATACTTCATTCATTTATTTATTCCTTCAAAAATATTTTTTGTGTGCCTGCTTTGTACCAAGCACTATGTCAGGTTCTGGAAACACTGTGGAGTATTAAAAAATGGTTCCTGCTTCTGGAGTTTACAGTTTAATTGGGATACAGACAATAAACCAGGAAACAAACAAATCTCTAACTGCCAATTATACTAGGAACTATAAAAAGAGCATACACCTCCTGGATAAGCCAGAAATATTCAGGTCCCTACATTACAAAAAATAACCAAAGGGACCAAGGTGTTGAAATCTTCACTGACTGAACGGTTATGTTTTTCACTCTCTTTGAGTATTACCTTTGTATTTCCTCTTGCTAAAATGCAGAGCAATCTCGTAGCTAGATGAAAACTTTGCCCACTGTATTGCTGCAACAAACTTTTTAAGATACTTGTTTACTGTGTGATTTGCCAGAAAGCCTAGTTTAGTAAGCAGATAATGCAGAGATGATACCAAGATAGACAATAAAGGCTTGATACATTACAGTTATGACTTTAATATGAAGTATATTAATAAATCAATGCTGTATTTTTAGAAGCTTCTAGTATTTGAAAAGTCCACAGAATGGAGAAGAGGATAAGCATACTTCAAATTATGTTCCTATTTCTTAAGAAGCTTGTGAAGCTAGCATATAAACACAAGCATTTATCAGACAGCTAGGATATTAATACCAACATGCTATTTAAGTTTTAAGGGATCACTTACATTTTGATGCTGACTCCATATGTCATATAAATAAGACTTTTTTTTTTTGTATATAGCATGGCATTTTAAGCAAAAAAAATTCATTTTATTTTTCTTCAGCTTAGTAGAAGAAAAAGTACGTACTCTTAGGTCAACTTATCTTTTTAATCTAAGAGATCTTGGTTGAAATTGGCTTTGAAGTTTTGCTAATTACAAAACTCAACAGGGGTTTTTCCTTATTTGGTATAACTCATATTTCTATTAACCTCAGTTTTGAAAAGATTAAAAAGTCTGAATAGAAACAACTGAGAAGTTTGAAGAACAGCCTCTCCCCTGTGATACTTCAAGTGCAAACTTCCCCCCATACTATTTAATTACCAATGTTTTGTGGTTGCATAAAGGGGAGGTAAAACTCACACATTTTGAACCTCCCAACTGCACAGTGCTGCAGAGAGATGAGAAATCAGTCTATTTTTCATTCCTTCTACGTACTGGGAAAATTTATGTCAACCTGAGTTTCAAGGAAATCGGGGTTCTGAAGGGCGACCCTGCTAGCTGCTTTTCTCGGGGCCACGCCACCGGGCTGAGATGCTTTCATTCTGGTGAAAAGATCATTACCAGGCGGCTCTGGGGAAGTTGGCCCTCTTGTAAGTGCGCGCCTTTGTTATGAATATGGAACAGATGGAGCCAAATCTATCTGCTCCATAGGAACAAAAACACTTACAACCCAGCTCTCTCTATTAAAGACTCTACTTAGCTCCTTTATACCATCGGCTTTCTGTGCACTGCTGTGAGGTTTTGACTTTATAGAAAAAGGCACTTCATAAAAGCACCAGTTCTTACTCTTAAACCAAAGTGGCCTAAGAACTAAAGAAGATGAATACATGGTTTCACCCACAGGACTCCTTGGAGATATGCAGATATTCAATTAGGGTGTGTGTGTGTGTGTGTGTGTGTTGTGTGTCGTGTGTGTGTAGGAGGAAGACTGTATTCAATTCTGGTAAATGTCTGCATTAAAACAACAAGAAAATACAGAGAGCAGCGATGAAGATGTCATGTTTCTCATTATGAGGATGGCATCTAATTGCTTGAACATAATAAAATGCCAGGGTTTAATTTTGTATATATGTCTTTAAGGCTAGCAAGGGCTGTCTTGAACAAAACATATGACTCTGCACAACAAAATCATGAGGGTAAACATAATTAGTAATTAGGACCATACCACAAAACGAAGGCTATATGAAGCTTCCTCACCATGAAAAATAGTAATCATTACATTCAGCATCATGCCGATTTGCTTTTATAATCAGAAAGATGTAAACATTGCAGGTGAAACCAATGCATGCGCTTGTTTCTCACGCCAATGAGCCAAAACACGTCCAAGGGACATCCCCACAATGTGCTGTTGCCGAGACACACGTGCTGACAGGTAGCCAGGTAAGTCTCCCGGGCTCGCGGGCGTGGACTCCCAACTGCGTATGGACCTCCCCTTGATAGCAGCGGGGGTGGGGGGAAAGGAGTGTCTGCCTTATTTCATTACATTTATTACACCGCTACATTTACAGTCTGGCTGCCTCTTCAGAGATAATTGAAAAAAGAAATTCTGTGGCAGGATGCTTTGATTCCGACTAAATCAAGTCTTCGGGCAAATTTCCTCCTGCCAGTGGAAGCACAGCTTGCCTGAAGTCGTAACCTTTGTCGGAGGAAAGGAACTGGCCTTGAAGCAGATCAGGAAGCAGATGTTTTATGCCAAATCAGAGTCTGGGGATACGCAGGCTACTGCAAATAAACCTCTTCTTCTGTCTGTTCAATCATTTCAATTCCCTGCAGTGTGAAATATGAACTTGCCAACAAATGGCCAGCGTGCTGTGCCTCGCAGCAGGGGGGGAAAGGGCCACAGCTGTGCCAGGGCCTGGAAGACTCGAAACGCGCATGACATGTTCATTAGTTCTCCTGTTCAGCGGGGCCTGAACCCGGCTGCTCTCCAGAACCCAGATGCGGGCCGGGAGCCGGGACCACCAACAGCACCCGAGGGTGAAAGACACGATCCCACCAGAGTGAGACACACAGCTTGTCCTGCTCTCTCAGGCGACCCCAGGAGGTTAGTCTCGAGAACAGGAACCCTGAAAGCTGGTCATCCCTGGGCACAAATAGACTGAATGAAAAAACACGTCTGCCAATGAGCCCAGCTTTTCTGACTTCACTATTAGCAGCCTGCTCTGTGAGCACTCAGAAAGTGAAGAAAATGAAATGTACTCGAGCCGCAAAGCACCTATGAGAGATTGAAACGGCCCAGTGAAGAACTTATCAGAAAGATATCTTGTCTTTAGAAGAAAGATGAAATTGCGGAAACTGTCCGGCTCACTTGTCACAGGCAAATGGAACACGAGTTCCTTCTAGTTGATTCCACACTACAGTTTCTTGATAATAAAGTAGTTACTTTATCTAAATTCAAGTGGAATCAGACTAACACGTTTCAGCGTGCGGTCCTCTGTAGCATGTTGAACATGTGTGTTCACACACACACCCTCACAGCTGTAATCCTAGGTTATAAACATCCCATGTTCAGTTCCATTGTGAGATTTTTTCAAAGGTTATTCACATGCTTTCTAGGGCCACATTCTTTCAAGTTTTAATCACAGGCTCCTTAAATAGAAGTCATTTGCATCTGCAAACATTCGCCTGGAATAGTATTTAGCAGTATATTCTCTTTGCGCAGAGCTATTTTAAAAGGAAAATAAACCTGAATACAGAATAACAATCAAACATAGGCATAAAAAGATAAATCAGAGGCTTGAGAAACTTCTGTAACCCTTCATGCAATTTCTGAAAAAATGTTTGAAGTTTCTCAATCTTGAAACAGCCCAGAGTCATATAGTTTATTTTGGATGATGGATTATAGGAATACTCATACAATCCCAAGCATGATCTAAATCATAGGGACATTTTTCAAGAAATGAAATGAGTTTGAAATAATTTATTATTTTGAAGGGAGGCCAAATAAGTACACGTGGTTCAAGCTCAGAATGACAGACCATTATCACAACTAATGGCCAAGTTCTCATTAGGTTCGCATTTCTAAATGAATGCTGTGGTCAATAAATCTGTCACAGAATGGCCACAAATGATTGCTTTAAGGGATTAATAACAAGACTTGTATTTTTATTTTAGGATTCTTTTGGCACCAATTACTCTAGAATATTATTTCCCCATAATGTTTCTTTTTCTCTATTTAGCTTGACCAAATACAAATTAGAAACATTAAATTATTTCTTAATTGATATGGAACTTGGTGGGAGGGAACTTCATTTCAGGATGCATAATAATATTATTATTATAATAGCTACCATTTATCTACTATTTCTATGCACCAGGCACTGTGCCAGGTTTATTAAATTTAATCCTCAGAACAGTTCTGCAAATCAGGTATTATTATCCTCATTTTAGAGACAAGGAAACTGAGGCTCAGAGGGATAAGGAGCTCGCTGACGACACACACAGCTAGTGGATGGCAGGGCGGATAGTCAAGTCCAAGTCTTTCTGATGCCAAAACTGTACAACCTCAGCTTACAAATCCTACTTTTCTTCATGACAGCCCCACTTCAAATATTTGTTTCATAATTTCCCAGAGGCTCTTATAAGTCCTTCCAAAAAAGTCTGGGGCTAGGTTAAAACTCAGTGGAACTTGACAGTGTAATGTTAAGCATTCGCAATGGGTTTCAGTAAGAAAAACCAAGTGAGAGTTTTGCTGCAGACACATGCCCTTTGCATATTTCCTAATGCATGTCAAGAAAAAGCCTTTTAATACTGTATGACTGTAACTGATGCACTCCTAAGTACCCACACGCACCACTGCAGGAGGAAAGAGGAAATAACACACAGTAACCCAATGTTCCAAAAGAAAACAGAAAATTGGCAGCGTCCTTAGTACACACAGCCTACGAGAGGAGAGTCTTCTCAGCCTGGCACTGCTGTCTCTGACCTCACGGCATCCCCTGGGATTTGGGCAGCTCTTGCCTGCTCCCACCCGTGTGGCGCCTTAGCCTGGGCCCAGAGGAGACGTAAATTAGCTGACAATGTTGTAGCACAGAAACCAAAATTAACATGTAAAGCAGAAATTCCTCTTATCCAAAACCAAACAGAGGGTTCTGTCTGGGGGAGGGGTCACACATAGACAGGGTCAACGGGCTTTACGGATGCCTCAGAAAAATAACATGCAGCAGAGTCACTAATTTTTACCTTAAATTCAATAAGGATATGAGGTCATTAATAGGGTGCGCTAAGGGTGACTTTGTATCTTTCTATTTCTTCTTTTTTCCTTCGCAGTGCAGGTATCTGATCTATGACTGCCCTACTCAACAGCTCATGTAGTATTTTTTCTGCACCATCTATTTTTCAAAAAGTCTTCCCCTTCATGGACTGAAGCCAAAGGATCCCATCCACCAGGGAAACAAAGGATTCTGCTCTACTGTGGGCAAATGAAGAGTCCAGGGTGATCCTGGCAGAACCCAAGTCAGATGTTACTCCTCAGCTCAAAGCCCTCCAGTGGCTCCCATCTCCCTCAGAGTGAAATCCTGTATCCTTACCGTGGTCCACCAGGACCCCGCCCTCTGATCCATCACACACACTTGCACATGTTCACAGAGGTCTCCCTCGTCCACCCTGTCCCAGCCATGCGGAATATAGGCACACAACTCTTCTCAGGCCCTTGGGGTTTTTCTTCCCTCTGCCCAGAAAGCCCTTTTGCCAGACAAACTCATGGCTTGCTTCCTCTACTCTTTTAGGTCCCTCCTCAGGTGTTACCTATTAGAAAGCCCTTTCCTGATCACTCACTTTCTATCACCCCTATATAATTATATAAACATATCATTACATAATATGAAATTACACTGATAACCTTATATATAGATGACCCTCTATAAATATATTTTAATATATTATATATTAAATATATGGGAAATAGTGATTTCCCTACCTTTACAGTCTCTAATCTCCTTACTCTGTTTTATTTTTTCATCACAGCATTTACCAACTACCTGACATATTTCATCTTTATTTCTTTGCTTGTTTATCCCCCTCCCCACCCCCTGGCTCGTCATTAGAATGTAGGTTCTATTAAAGCAGAGCTTTTGCCAATTTTTTTCTCTACTGTATTCACAGAGTCTAAAATATATCTGGTCAGCAATATGCACTCAATATTTGTTGAATGAAGGACGGAAAGAAAGGACAAAATGAAAGACAAGGTCACCCTCAAAAAATGCTTGTCTGCTCACTGATCTACCATAAATGCCCACAAAATCAGGTCTGGAGTAGAAAAAGTAGAATAAAAAAGCCAGTCACTGAGCAGGCATGTCAGCTTCCCACAGTGTAAGCAGGCCCTTAAGGCTGCTGTACTTGTGAACAGGTAGGTGGCTTATTTTTCAAGAGAGAGTGGGGTTTCTTCCTCCATATTCAATTAAGATGCACTAAAACATATCTGTATAAAGCAAAATGATTTTTAAGTACCTTTGAAAAAGCTTCTACTAATAATCTGATGGATGTTTTTTTCACGGCACTCTTGTGAAGGGTGAGGGTGTGACAACAAAACATCAGCCTAGTATCAAGTCCAAGGAGGAGGGCAGGGTCTCCGCTGGTAGCTTGTATTTGGATCAGTGCCGAGTGGCGGCAGCCCTGCTTAGCCTGAACGTGCATAAGGAGGTGGTGCGGACCTGGAAGCAAATCTCATCACCACCATCCCAACAGCTAAACTGAGCACTTTTACATCCTTACCTCCACCAGCAAGCTCAAGTCACTGAATCACAAAACTCAAGGTCATGAACCTTGGGGACCAACTAGTTCAGTCACCTCATTGTACACGTTTAAGAAACTGAGCTTTACTTTTAGCATTTCAGAGAGGCCGTGTAGCCCGCCAAAGTCCATCTTGCTTGGGAGAAGGACACTGAACAGGCTGATCTGGCACAGGAACATTCATCAAAAGAGAAAAAAGCGTTCACTCAAACCACCTTGGACATAACTAGGGCAAAGCAACCATCCCCAAAGCTCCTCTTACATACAAAGAACCAAATCATCAGGGATTAAATATTTAATGAACTTATAGTATAGCTAGTTCTGCTAAAATTTATGAAATAGTTTAGTTGAACTTTTTATTTGCTGAACATATCCTTCAGAGTGCATGTAAAATCAATGTGTGTAATACATTTATGTCCCCGTTATAGAAAAGAGTATAATTTTTACTATTTTGAATAAATGTGGAAGGTTACAGCTACTGCATCTTTGCCTCTGACAGAGGGTTGATCATAGTTCTGATTTATTTTTTCTCAAATATATGGTCAGAGACACAGTCTCAATTAAGATATTACTCCTGGAGGAAAATGGGAGGCACTTTACAACTCTGCTTTATGATTCTATTTCCAGGAAGCACGGTGGTGAAAAGTGGGAGCTGTCTGTGATACTAATTTGAAAAACTAATGAAGTCACAGAACTGTTACTTCTCATAAGTAGCCAGCAGCCTCTACTCTCTGCACAGCACAAAACTGTATGAACGTGTGCACCTGCAGCCGGCGTGACACCTACACAAACCCGGCCGCGGCCATCCAGCACACACGCCCCTCCCGCTCTGCCACCATCTTACTAAGGAAGAGGTTTATGAAGTTTTCTCTCAATTACTGGGCATCTAGAATTTTGTGTCCCGCTCTCAAAGAAATGTTCCTCCCATTCCTACAGCTGTCTCTTCAAAGTTTTCAACTCCTTCTGCTCCTTCCAACCAATTTGATCCCGAAAAGTCCACGTAAACTGGATTTTTGGAAATCGAAATCATTT